TTTTTTCAATCAATCAAAGCATTTGAATAGTTATTTCAAACAAGAAGTGACAAAATATCGAACGGTAAACGTTCCAGTCTGAAATAGAACTTCATAAATCTTTTGAAAATGATATTCATTGTAGATTAACTTCATGTGATGCTTTAATGACAAAACTATAAAATACTGAACATTTGTTAGTTTCTTACCATAGAACTTCTCAATAATTTTCATTAACGACTCATTCAAGGATCGAACTCATGTAATAAAGTTCTTTTTTGCAACCATTTTCTGTTTTGATAGGTACACTCAAAAACTTGTTTGAAACGACCAGTTTTATTTTCAACTTCTTTTTTCTTGATCTTCAATTAAGAGCGATTCAATTACGAATCCTAGAATCTTGATAATGATTTAACATTTACTTTGTGAATAACATAGAAGATTATCAATCAGGTTAAATCCATTCAAGTTCAAAAAATTACATTATTGATGTTTAACAAATAATTTTAACCACTTTTTAAGATCTACAAAACTATGTCTCCTAGTTGATCTAAAAGGTTTTAGTTCTTTATATTTTAATCGAAGTTAAAAGTATAATGTTAGTTGCTTATTCGACAGATAATTCCTATTTAAACATTAAAATCAGAAGGGGTTTTCTGGAGATTGTAGTAATTTAAATAGTTGAGATTATAAGTCAATGGAAGCTAGACCACCATGCAAAACCTGGAAACACTGGACGGCTGTTTCGTCCTAGTATGGAACTCTTCATCAGTGCGTATCCAAGACCCCGCCTCACGGAATTTGAACCCAGGACTGCTGAGGAGTCCTACAATGGGACGAAACGACCGTCCAATGCTTCCAGGTTTTGCATAGTGGTCTAGCCTCAATTGACTCATGATTTCAACTACTAAACATTAAAAATTAAAAACAAGAAGTTCAGCGAAGGGATCTCTTTTCAACGAATTTACTAACAAGCTGTACAATCGTATGCAGATATGAAAATTTTGCTTATTTACAACATTTGTCAGTTTCTATGAGAATTAACGATTATTATGATCATTCTCATCTTAAATGAAACATTTACTACTCATGAATTCAATCCTTAGGTCAACTTAATATTTGTTCATTACAAATAGATAATTAATACTGATTCTACAAAGTATATTTATTAAAGAAAACAGAATCATTCGTTCTAGACAAACTCATTACGATAAATTAACCATTTAACATTTATCGTAACGTGTTCCATATGTATGATCTTATTTGCAAAGATTTATTCTTCCTTATTGTTGACATTTAAGAGTTCAAATAAATGATCTTAATTGGTATATCTACATATTGAGTAGATTGCTTAAATTTTGTCATTTAGTCATTTATAAAACACATTGACACATGTCACTCCTTCATATCAATAAATGGAAACCATTAACCTTAACAAATAAGTCACTCATTTATATTGTCCATCAAATTAATATAAGTCAATTTGATCTAAATAGATATTTAGTGAACTTCATGAAAAGCATTTCTATGACCAAATAATGACAGCAATCAATCAATGAAAGTAAATTAACTAACCATTTACTAATCAAATAAACACAAAGTATTAAAAAAAAATAACATTCCTACACAAAACTACATGGTTCTCATCATATCTCACAGCACAGAAACAATCATATTTACAACATTAAAAAAATTAGAAGATCAATGAAAGACATAATAACCAGGAGAGGAGCTGACATAGCTTCCGATCACCATATACTTGATGGTTGCCAAAACGAAACTGAAGCTGAAAAAACATTAGACTACTGGGAAAATAGGAGTACAAAGGTTCACTATAGCTTTCTTTCGACATACTGACAAATTCAATGAATTCTTGATAACTCTCAACGACAGGTTCCAAGCCTTACAGGATCTACTGAAGGAAGAAGAAACTACTGTGGAGGTCAACTGGAAAGGTATCAAAGAAGCATTAACTTCAAAATGTCAAGAGGTTTTGGGCCTCAAGAAGCATCATTATAAGGAATGGATCTCCATAGAAATACTAGACAAGATCAAAGAAAAGTAAAACAAGAAGACAGCAATTAGCAACAGTCGAATAAGAGCAGAGAAAGTTAACGTCAAATATGCGTACACAAAAGCAAACAGGCAAATGAAGAAGAGCATTAGAGACGATAAGCAGAAATACGTGGAAGAACTAGCAACGATAGCGAAGAAAGCTGCAATAGAAGGAAATATGATATATCCATACGATATAATGAAGAAACTGATAGGGAAATATAGTAAACCGGAGAGGCCAGTCAACAAAAAACAATGCAAGCCATTCACTGAATTTCAAGATCAGCGGAACAGATGGGTAGAACTCCTTGAATACACTAGCCCCATTGAATTCACCGGGTACCGAAGCAACACACACAGACTTTCTTATAGCTGTTACTTCACCAACGATCGAAGAAATCAGAATGGTCATCAGAAAAATCAAGAGCGAGAAAGCAGCACGACCTGACAACAGACCAGCTGAAGAACTAAAGTCAGACATAGAAGTAACTGCAAAGATCCTTCATGTCCTGTTTAAGAATATTTAGGAGGAAGAAGAAGTGCCACCGATAGACTGGAAAGAAGGTCATCTCATCAAGATACCAAAGAAAGGAGATCTGAGAGAATGTGTGAAGTACAGAAAATTTATACTACTATCGGTACCAGGAAACGTTTTCAATAGTGTTGCTGAACCGGATAATAGGCACAGTAAACAGAAAACATCGAGGTAAACAGACCGAATTCCGCGTAGATATAAATAAATTTAATAAGACGGAAACTTATGATGAATTTTTCTAGATTCTAACTAGTATTAAAATCTAGGAGATATGTCTTGTTCCATTTGGGATCAATCATCTGCTTCAATAATCGCTAACAATGTTTTTATTTTGTAAACAACAAAAACAATCGTTCTAGTAGAATAACATAAATTCATCTTATTTTGTTGGTTGTCGTCAGTTGTTCACAACTTGTAATATTTAAAAGCCATTACTATAAATTTTGTTATAGTTAGAAATTATCTGCATCAGTTATACAATATAACAGGATATTTCTCTTCAACATACATTCAATAGTTAATAAATATTTGTTCAATAGTTCAATATTTTTCACTTATTTTAAACGCTGTATGAATTTCAACATATTTGTCATTTGTTATATTTAAAGAGTTAAGAAGAAGGAGATTATTCCAATAAATAACGTATTTTGACATTCACACACACACACACACAAATACACATCGTCTGTTACTTCTCGTGGAGTAGCATAGGCCATCTACTAGCACTCTCTATCTAACCCTGTCCTGAACATTCTTTTTCTGTTCTTTCCAATTGTTATTCATCCTTTTCATATCTGCTTCTATTTCCCGACGTAATGTGTCCTTTGGCCTTCCATTTTTTTGCTTCCCTTCAGGATTCTATGTTAGGGCTTGTCTCGTGATGCAGTTTGATGCTTTGCGCAATGTATGTCCTATCCATTTTCATCGTCTTTTCCTAATTTCCTCTTCAGCTGGAATCTGGTTTGTTCTCTCACACAAAAGGCTGTTGTCGATGGTATCCGGCCAATTGATGTTGAGTATCTTGCGTAGACAACTATTTATAAATACTTGTACCTTCTTGATGATGGTTGTTGTAGTTCTCCATGTTTCAGCTCTGTACAGTACGTTCGTATTGTAGATTCTGACTTTGATATTGATTGACAGACAGTTGTTTTGAGTTCCACATATTTTTCAATCGTAGGAATGCAGCCCTGGCTTTGCCAATCCTTGACTTTATATCTGCATCTGATCCTTCTTGTTCATCGATGATGCTTCCCAGGTATATGAAGGATTCTACATCTTCCAAAGTTTCTCCATCAGGAGTGATTGGATTGCCGTTCTCTGTATTGTGTTTGAGGACCTTTGTTTTCCCCTTGTGTATGTTGAAGCCCACTGATGCAGAGACTTTTGCTTTACTGTCTCTCTTTATCCGCATTTTTTCGTGTATATTTGATAGGACGGCTAGGTCATCTGCGTATTTTGATTTTAGATTTCTAATATTTGTAATTACCATATGTTTAAAACCATTTCATAATACTGAATTAGTATAACAGCTACAATTTATAATTATTCATTTCAAACAAATCTAAATCAAGAAATTTTTGTTATAATATTTGCACCATTGAAGAATAAGGCAGTCGAGACATTGAAATCCACAACTTGGAGGGCAGTCGAATTTAAGCTTTTTAAAATCTCTTTAAAAAAAGCTTCAAGTTTTTAAAACACTCAGTTTGGATTTACCGGTTTATATTGTTTCACTTTAGTTGATTTACAATATTAGGCGATACATCTATATATATATATATATATATATATATATATATATATATATATATATATATATATATATATATATATATATATATATTGTGTACGTGTACATGATGTATTTCCATCAAATGTTTATTTTTAGCATGAATGTACTTTTCATGGCAACAATGTATGTTCTGTCTGCATTCCTCTCTTATTATAGTGATAATAATAATAATTATTATTATTATTATTTATAATAATTATAAGAAACATTTTATTGTAAAATATTCTATCATTTAAGGTTAAATGTAATAACATAAAGACTTCTGAAAATGTTCTACAATATCATTATTTATCTGATTTGAATATTGTACTAATTTGTGTGAAGAAGTGCCCTATGTATTTGCTTGATATTTTCTTTAATCATGAATATAATAGATACAGAAATAGATAGATGAGTGTATCCACATGGTTCTGTTTTCTATATAATAAATACTCCTGTGTTTTTTGTATTAACTGTAGCAACACAAATAATAAAAAAATTTTTATCTCCTATGCGCGTAGGTGGATATTATGGCCAAGAGATTAAGCTGTAATTTGATTGGTTCAAGATGTTGAAGGTCATGGAAATAACTTTCACACACGCACACACTTGTATATATATATAGATAGATAGATGATTTTTTTATCCTAAATAAATTAAAAATTGATTGACGTAGATTGGTGTAGATCATAAATTGGAACACTTGAATCATTCACAAAAGTTAAAACAGAGAAATACATATCATATATATATAAATATATCAACAGATACATCACAGTGTAATATTAAACCACAAAACGTCTGCATACAAATACTCATATTATTATTATTATTATTAATTAATATTAACATTAATTAATATCAATTATCTTATTATCTAATAATAATCATAATTATGTAAGTAATATTTTCCATTTTGTTTTGATAAGCATATATATATCAATAGTTTAGATCACGAGTTGATTGAAGCTAGACCACCATAGAACACCTGTAAACACTGGACGGCTGTTTAATCGTAGTATGAAACTCCTGGAGTTCTAATGAGAAGTAGTGACCAGTGAAGTTCAACCTGATCTATTGTGAGATAATAATTCACTGATGACAAGGATGGATATGTTACTCAATTTTGTCGATTAGTTGAAATTAAATATTAACACCGTTGGATGACTGTTCAGTGGTTTAGTGGTTAAGCACGCGCGCGCGAGATTGATATGTCCTGGGTTTGAATCTTGCAATGCGGAAACGTGGGTGCGCACTGTTGAGGAGTCTCACAATAGGACGAACCGGTCGTCCAGTGTTTTCAGGTTTTTCATGCTAGTCTAGCTTCGTTTGAGTTATGCATTCAACTCTTAAGATTACTATAATATCCTCGAAACCCTTTCTGATATATATAAAGGAGGAATAAAATCGAGTGAAGAAATTTCTTTTCAATTAGTTTTTCATCATTGTTCTACACTATTATATTTACACTAATGAAATAATACTCATCGAGTAGATACGTTACATAATAATTATATAATGACATATCGATTATAAATTAATATTGAGTAATTGGAAGAAAGTAAATTCATAATGATCAAAGTAATTATTCGAAAATCAAGTAGTTGCTATGCTGCCATAGTAGTTATGTAAGAATCAAGAGACAAATGTTAAAGAATAAGTAAAACATACACACAAAAAAATTCATTCCATCTTTATTTACTAAATGTCATAATGAGAATATTCACTTCAAATTGATAGTTGATTCATTTAATGATGTAACACTTATATTTAACATTTTTGTGTGTATACATTTATGGAAACAAGTACTGAATCTTTGTTTTATACTTCTAATAGTTTAGCTAAATGGTCATAATTATTTTCTTTATTACTATATGCTTAAAAGTACTTAGTTACTAGTTGCATTGAAATATTGAATAGATTTTAGTGTTCATATGTGTCAAATCCTTATTTAGTGCAGATCGAATACTATCGATCATGTTACAATGTGGCCACCAGTCTAGGTGACTCGTCACTACGTGTTACTATATTAATATTATATCCCTTTAAATATACAAAATAAATGATATATATATTACTTATCTAGGAAATATGTTGATTTCATACATATATATAGTTCCCTTTATTATCTTAAATGGAACAAGAACAAAGATTGGTGCAGAATAATAAATGAATTCATTTGGTTCCGTTAGGTTCACATCAATTGCTTACAATCTAAAATATTTGAAAATCAATGTTATCACAGATATTGACATACTTATACATAAGACGGTAATTAAGAATGAATATGAGTGTATCATGATGTAGCGAAGATTCCAATAGAGTTCAATAAGGTCACAAAAAATTTGTTTGGAATAAACAAAGTTTGAGAGGAAACGTTTCAGAACATTGAAATAGTGGTAACATTAACCCCCTTTTTTTAAAAAAAACTATTACATCATGCGTTATTTCAATTCTTTCTCAAGTACAAATTACATCATTGACATTTTTCATTAATTCCTAATTGACGTTCCTCTATTACCATGACTCAATTTTCAGTTACTTAATTACATAATCATCTAATGTGTGTTAACTCCATGAGTTCTAATCACTAGTTCAATGTTTTAGAACTTTCCCTCTCAAACTTTATTTCTCCGAAATAAACAATTTCTTCTGACCATATTGAACTCTATTGAAATCTTCACTACATCACGATACAGCTTTGATCACTCTCTTATATATAAGTATGTCAATATCTGTAATCAAGTTGATTTTAGATTGTAAGCAACTGATGAGAACCTAGGGGAATCAAATGAATTCATTTATTATTCTTCATCAATCATCGTTCTTGCTTTCTTTACTGATAGTTACAATTTATCCGGGCTAAAATACATCTATACATGTTTAAATTACTTTTTTTTTAAGAAAAAAAACCACAACTTGAAAACGCATTTTGTAACCAATTTTTCCCATATTAACAAAGATGACAATATCGAGGCAATATACACAGGATGCATATATGTCAATAAGAGATTGATCAATTTCAATCAATAGGAAGATTCAAATAAAACAATAATACTAAATGAATTTATTTTTCCATAGTTTATTACATAACATAAATGAGCCTATGCTGAGATTTAGAATTGTGTAAAAGTATACCACTTTGAAAATGTTGTTTTTTTTTTCTAATATTAAGCGCTATCATCATTTCTTTAAATCACTAATTGATTAATCAATAGATTTTATGATCGAATAAATAATAATTAATTGATTTTGATTAAGAAAATGATCAAAGTTTGATCAACATTAAATTAACAATAGACATTAAGTTTTTGATTGAGATCATGAATCGATTGATCATAAATCATCATTGAAATCCTGGAAGCATTGGACGACCGTTTCGTCATATTGTGAGTGTAACATCAATTGATTCGTGATCTGAATCAAAAACTTAATAATCTCTGCAACCCTTACACTGATAATGATAATAATATAAACACATGAATGCAATATGTTAATGATGATAAGCACTTGCATCATGTTGAACTATTTCAGTGGATTCAACTACTTATATAACAACAACAGTAACATAGATATATAGATTGGTACATAGAAACTATCACGTTTTTTACTAACATTCATTCTCTTTTCTAATCGAGTGTGATCGGGTTTGATTTATAAACCAGTTTCGTTTTTAATTTACCCCTACATTAAATAAAATAGGTACATATAAGTTGATTGAAAGTGACTATTCTTTTTTTATGGGCAAGAATGTTCTGAGAATGTGACATTTTGGTAAAGTATGATTTTCTGAGCTGTGAGATTTTCTCGGGAAGTTTACAACATCTTTCTAGACAAAATCATCAACACAAAACTTTAAATAGAAGTAAACTATTTGGATTTTTTTCACCTATGAATGACAATCTCTTCTATTAACCTTGATCTTGATTGTATATTTGTTTAGTTAACATCATATTTAATCACACTGCGGACCTAATAGTTTTCTATAGTTGGTTGACTGAGTGACTGGGGGAACAGAAAACATCGAAAACTTCCATTTGTGTTACAACTCTTCTCCACCATAATAATGAATATATCTTGACCATTGGGAAGCTATAACTAACGGTGAAAATGGAATGTATGTGAACGGGTAAATCCGAAATCACATCAACTTCAGGACCCGAAAATAACATCAATTTAACATAGTATGTTGGCATCCTCTGTATTCTAAATACGGTATTACAATATAACAACAATGCCAGCATGTTTAAAACGTGTTTATCCCCCTCTAAATGCAAATCCCTGCTTCAGGAATGACCGGTGTAGTTCGTTCTGTTCTACCTTACGGTTGCAAAACGTGGTCATTAAAAGTAGAAGATACTCATAGGTTACTAGTACTTGATCACAGATATCTGATAAATTTTGCTCGCATCTACCGGGATCGTCAGGTAAGTAGTAATGAGATTAGACGCAGGGTATTAGGAAGTAATGGTTAATCAGTTGATGGGGTTGTGAATATTCATCGGCTGAGATATTTGAACCACGTGTCACGATTTCCACGACGTGCAGTGCTGAATAGTGTTGGGGATGGTTGGAAGAAAGTTAGGGGCGGCCAAACCAAAACGTGATATCAGTACTTGAAGTCACTAACTTCTAGTCTGAGCCATGTTGGTAGATGCAGACTACTTGGTTGGGGTCCGCGTGATTGTCGTAACCAATGGTTGGTGACTCTGTGTGACACGGCCCAGATTCGATCACATTAGAGTACGTGTATACGCTCTCTATCTTCTCTTAAACCGTGAGATTAAAATCGCTTCATATTTTCCTACGAACTAATTCTTTCTTCCTGTACTATATCCTCATATGCAATCTTCCTTTTTATACATTTCTATCATGTAAATGACTCCCTTTATGAATTTGATGTTTATCTTGTTGTCCTAATAAGGCATGGCAACTTGGACTGATGCATATATGTGCCTGGTCTTACGCTTTAAACGACTAGCCAAAAAGTTATAACTGAATTACTGATCAGAATCATCATTTCATGATATTCTTTTATATAACTTCAATCATTATAGTTTTGATAATCATAAAATGATTAAATTCTAAACATTTACAGTTAGAAAATCAATTTCATTATTCAAAATGAATCCATAACTATATTACATCTATACATAGTAGATCGTTTATTAATTCTCTTTTAATCTACAATACTTCTTTACTTTGTTATTCTTTATTAAACATTATTACCAGCTGATTCTATCATTATAAATACTTAATTATGTATAAGACATATATTCATAATAATTGGTATACAGTAGTAACATTCTAACAAGTATTTACATTATGTAAAATTCCCTAGTAACTATACATAAAACGATTGATCATCAACCTGTTTCAATCTATATGTATCAGGAGATAAAACACACAAAACAAAACAAGAAAGTTATTTACACCGACAAACACTTTTTAAACATGATGTTTATCAAATACTTCTTTATGTGCATAGATAGATATATATAGTTTTGGATAATGTATATATCATCATATGTAACAATCGTTTCATAATCCACTATCTCATTAATGTCCTTTCTAATTATCCTTTAGTAACACTTATTATCATTGACATAAAATGGATTGTTTTGTAGTCATGGAGAACACAGGTGAGGACAACTAAATTGTATTTAGCACAACATTACAGAGTTACTTGGTAAAATAGAACAACCATACTATAATACTTTATTTTGCAAAATGTTCAATAACTGTATTGGACTTCATTGTTCTTGCATTTCTATACTAGTTTCTTTCTATTCCCGTTCTTCCTTTCTTGATCTTCCCTCATTTTCTGCTGCCAGATATTACATTTCTGATTCGCGTTATATACTACTTATGTCACTATAAGTAGCACACACCACAGT